AATGCTGTACATTTTGTTTATGAGCTGTATCGAGACAAGCATACTATCTGTCACCTTGATAAAACATTTTATCACACGTTGGTTTATATACAGAGGATACAGTTTGCTTGGCTTCGTATCGGAGCAGCAGTGCACACTGGATCCCCATAAAAGAAAACAAAACTCAACCTTTGTTTTGCCCGAGGAGTGGACCATTAAATGAACGTCTCATGTACACTCCGATATAGAAGGGAAAGAGAGGGCAGTATGTCTCAGCCAACATTTCCCTGCTGCATTTGGAAATCAAAAACTCAGCATTTAGAGAAAAGGCTGCTGTCTTTTGGCCTTGAAAGCAAACCACGTTAACTTCCATATGCGCATCTAACTGCTCCAACGACAACTGTGGCAGAGATGTACTCCATTCGAATCCCCCGTGAGGTAAAGTAAACAGCCACATTAATACTATAAATTGTGTTTCCTTTGGCCAGTCTGTTTTCAAGAATGTGAATCTTAAAACTTAACTGTAGTGAATCCTCTAACTTTTCGGATGTACCTAGCAAGTGAAAATCAGTCAGAGTGTTTTTGGATGTGATGAATGGCAATGCCATCTCTCTGAGAGAAGAAAAAGCAATTTGTAGCATTAGCGGATTGATACCATGGGTTCTCTGGGTGCATATCACGGGCCCTGTTGGAAAACTTCAGAAATGCATCCTTCCTTCCCTTCCTTTAAGTAATCACAGATCTGAATTGGTTGGATTTGTGAAAGTAATTGGGTGGTAACCTTTCCTACACCTATCCAATCACTTACAGATCTGTTCTTACCTCAAGGAATCAAGGAAGGAAGGATGCATTTCTACAGTATTCGAACAGGGCCCTAGAAGCTAGCGTATTCAGACCCTATCATACAGTACACTGTACATTTGAGCAATTAGCAGACAGACTGTGGCTGGGTCCTGTATGACTAATTATAAAAACAGCGGGGCTTCGTGTACGCAGCATGTGCATTCTCTACTCTGGTCCCATATGCAAACGCTTCCAGGTGCTTGGGAAAATTGATCAGCAAGATAATTTCAAATATTCTGAAAATGCTAGCATAGAGAGATAATGTTGTTTGATGTAGATAGGATGCTTGCCCATGATATGGATGTGACACAAAGTATAAATTGTACTCTTAGGCCCAAATGTAATCAATTGCAGATAAAGGAAATCACACTTATGGTTCACTCAGAATGTTTCTGCTGTATTAGAGGTGGAAAATAAGTCGATAACTTCGATTTCCACAGTCTACTATAAACAAGAGGATTCAAATCCTTTATTGACACGTATGAGTCAACGCAAACTGCAATACTGTACATTTCCGTTATTTTTCCTTTTTACAAATGATTAGAAAACTGTACAGTATAAAACCAAAGACAATAGGAAAAAGGGTTTACATATTAAAGATCTTACAGTGCGGAGAACAAGTATTTGATACACTGCCGATTTTGCAGGTTTTCCTACTTACAAAGCATGTAGAGGTCTGTCATTTTTATCATAGGTACACTTCAACTGTGAGAGATGGAATCTAAAACAAAAATCCAGAAAATCACATTGTATGATTTTTAAGTAATTAATTTGCATTTTATTGCATGACATAAGTATTTGATCACCTACCAACCAGTAAGAATTCCGGCTCTCACAGACCTGTTAGTTTTTCTTTAAGAAGCCCTCCTGTTCTCCACTCATTACCTGTATTAACTGCACCTGTTTGAACTCGTTACCTGTATAAAAGACACCCTCAATCAAACAGACTCCAACTTCTCCACAATGGCCAAGACCAGAGAGCTGTAGGACATGGGCTACAGGACAATAGGCAAGCAGCTTGGTGAGAAGGCAACAACTGTTGGCGCAATTATTAGAAAATGGAAGAAGTTCAAGATGAGGGTCAATCACCCTCGGTCTGGGGCTCCATGCAAGATCTCACCTGGTGGGGCATCAATGATCATGAGGAAGGTGAGGGATCAGCCCAAAACTACACGACAGGACCTGGTGAATGACCTGAAGAGAGCTGGGACCACAGTCTCAAAGAAAACCATTAGTAACACACTACGCTGTCATGGATTAAAATCCTGCAGCGTACGCAAGGTCCCCCTGCTCAAGCCAGCGCATGTCCAGGCCCGTCTGAAGTTTGCCAATGACCATCTGGATGATCCAGAGGAGGAATGGGAGAAGGTCATGTGGTCTGATGAGACAAAAATAGAGCTTTTTGGTCTAAACTTCACTCGTCGTGTTTGGAGGAAGAAGAAGGATGAGTACAACCCCAAGAACACCACCCCAACCGTGAAGCATGGAGGTGGAAACATCATTCTTTGGGGATGCTTTTCTGCAAAGGGGACAGGACGACTGCACCGTATTGAGGGGAGGATGGATGGGGCCATGTATCGCGAGATCTTGGCCAACAACCTCCTTCCCTCAGTAAGAGCATTGAAGATGGGTCGTGGCTGGGTCTTCCAGCATGACAACGACCCGAAACACACAGCCAGGGCAACTAAGGAGTGGCTCCGTAAGAAGCATCTCAAGGTCCTGGAGTGGCCTAGCCAGTCTCCAGACCTGAACCCAATAGAAAATCTTTGGAGGGAGCTGAAAATCCGTATTGCCCAGCGACAGCCCCGAAACCTGAAGGATCTGGAGAAGGTCTGCTGCAGTGTGTGCAAACCTGGTCAAGACCTACAGGAAACGTATGATCTCTGTAATTGCAAACAAAGATTTCTGTACCAAATATTAAGTTCTGCTTTTCTGATGTATCAAATACTTATGTCATGCAATAAAATGCTAATTAATTACTTAAAAATCATACAATGTGATTTTCTGGATTTTTGTTTTAGATTCCGTTTCTCACAGTTGAAGTGTACCTATGATAAAAATTACAGACCTCTACATGCTTTGTAGGTAGGAAAACCTGCACAATCGGCAGTGTATCAAATACTTGTTCTCCCCACTGTACATCACCAGGTCAACACGTCTTAGAAATGTGTTTGTTTGGCAAAAAGTTTTTTCTAACTGGTAAGTAAAAACCACAGACTACCATATAAAATAATACCAAGGCATGTTACAAAAGAAGAATGATCTCATGCAGCAACTTCAAAAACGTTTTTTAAAAAAGGGCCTGAGAATTCCTCCATGGTAGGACAAAGGAAGAGTACATTTTCACTAGATGGTTTCAACCTCTTAACCAAGGTAATTTAACACAATTTAACATGGACATATACAGCAACAGAGGTAAATGTTTGACTTCTTGACAGTCCAGAGGGAAATGCAATGCATCGATGCCCTAGCTGGCCCATTGAGCCCATTGATACGACTCTAGAGAAGTTCTCAGAGATGGATGACTTAATAACATAGGGCTTGCATGAAGACCAACATTCAGCATTTAGGACAAAAAGGACAGGAGAGCCACAGGACACAGTGTAACATCTATATCGTGAATTACTCAACACTGTGGTATTTGTGGTATAAGGCTCACTGCACATTGGTGGGTGAAAAGGGGTTGGAATGCATAGTCAGAACTAGTTCCCTATATCATTGGCTGTTGGCCGGTCATCCTTTTGGCTTCTTACCTCCAACCCTTATGGAGACAGACATCACATTGTGCTTCCTTCACATAGCCACTTGATTGAAACAAGTTATAGTCATACATTTCAAACCTCATTCATATTTTGTGTGTTCACTCACATGGACATCCATGACAAATGCCTCGGCTAGAGTTGGGTCAATTCCATCACCAATCCAGCTCCGAACTTGACTTGTTATAAGGGAAATGTTTGATAAATTCACATATTTTATGAAAAGGGTAGCTGTCAAAACTAATACAATATTTGAATTAACTGAAATTAAATTGCAACATACCCCAACATTGCAAGCAGGTAGAACTTAGTGATATTGTGTCCAAAATCTGGCACAGATTTTCAACATTGTTCCCTTTAACCGCACTGCAGAACTGGGCATTGAATCACGTCTTGGGCACTTAAATGGCAACTGGCTGATTTACGAGCTGCCACCGGTCACATCACTTAAACGCCACAAGGTCAAAGACTTCTGCAAAGACCTTTGAGAATGTCTTTCTCTGTCTCTCTTTGCAGATCAGAATCTCGCAAGATGACAGTAACTATAAGAGACAGTGCCATTCCCTGTGGATTGTAGATGTTTCTGCGCAATTGACTGCAACTGAGCTTATAACCAACCGCAAGTCAGTTTTGAGCTGAAATCAAACCTGACAGCCTTCTACTATCGCAGACATTCGGAACGGATATAAACTTTTGCGTAACATTTGTTCTAACCCAAAGGAAACTCATTGGCCAACAGAACTTCTCACTACTGGCGTAGAAGGCTGTAAAACATTTTTGAACACAAAAAAGGCAAAGGTTTGTGTATGCAATAATGATCAACTTATTGCTTTTCTCTCATTTTATTCATGGTTTGTTTTTTCATCATACCCAAAAAGATACTTTTTTTTACATACTTTGTAATCATATAAATACACTGTACAACATTACAATACAAAATACAAATTTTCTCATAAGGAATACGTTTAGAGTTTGCTCAGGTAAGCTGGTTTTTAAGACTAGCACTGATCAGAAAAAAAATGATATTCCCTTGGAATCAGTCAGATCAAGGCACTTTCTGGTGACGGTGACAAAGGTGTTCGGTCATCCTTGGTTAGAGCTATCCTTCCTCCCACAGGAAACGTAGACAGTTTGTCCAAAGTTCCGTTTAATTGTACTCTGATTGAAGCCAGGTTTTCTCTACTGTACAAGTAGTACACATTCTCCTTTATGGAGGAACAGCCATCCTCTTTATATGGTAACCTCTGTAACCTACACCGGTTGACTTTCACGTTAGTCCTCTTTCCCATTGGCCTTCTCTCCTCCTTTGACTCAATTATCAGTCTCTGAAATAAGAGACCTTCATTTGATTTTTTGGGAACCAATTGTTTTGCTCCGTTGACCTTTCACATCAACTTTCTCTCACTTGCTCTCGCTTTCTCACACCTCCACACCTCCTTTCTGTTGCCCCCCTTGCGCGACGGCGGATGCCGACACCACGATGTCGAAGCAGGTCTCCATCATGACACGCGACTTGCATAGGTTGACACAGTACTCCAGCTCGCCCGTGACCTGCTCCAAAGCCTCCAGGTACTCCTGGGACTCTTTGTCCAGATCCGGGTCCACCTCAACTATGGGGGGAAGGTGAGAGAGAGAGAGAGAGAGAGAGAGAGAGAGAGAGAGAGAGAGAAGAGAGAGAGGGAGAGAGAGAGCGAGAGAGGAGAGAGAGAGAGAGAGGAGAGAGAGAAGAGAGAGAGAGAGAGAGAGAGAGAGAGAGAAGAGAGAGAGAGAGAGAGATAGAGATAAAAAGAAGGAGAGATTAGCATTAGTGATGAAGTAGCTACCGCCATTAGATGTACAGAATCAAACAACACAGATAAAAGATGTAGCCACTCTTGATATTTAGATGACCATTCATCATGTAGATACAGGGAATTTCCATATCTGTGGTAAAAAGCTTATCTTAATGCACTATCATTATATTGGGTGATCATAGGCACAATAAGTCAGTGTTGGGGTCAATTCAGGAAGTAAACTAAAATTCCAATTAAATAATTTTAAAAAAGGGCTACTTTCAATGACTTCTCAATGTAGGCCACCTATACTAACATGTTACCAACTAATGAATGAGACAGAGAGTTTATTGGAATTGACCCCAAGCCTGCTATCATGCATCCCATGATGCACTATAAACAAGGCGGCTCACTATGTGATACACTACTTCTACTATTCTCTGTAACTGTGTGGCTCCACTGTGACCGCTCATCCATCGTCACACCTTTCACAGCTTTAAAAGTCATACAGGTACATGAAGATTGATGATGACATGTCTTTGACAGGGCTGGGTATGCTGGGATGTCTGATGGAAGCTGCTCAAGACACACTACCCTCATAATCACAACATGAAAAGAATGAAATGATGATTTATATAGCTTGACTGCTCCCATCACGGGCTCAGACCAACGGGCGGTCCCTAAACCAATGGGAAACATCTCAGGGAAATAGAGATTGGAGATGTGGCTGAGGGAAAATAATGCCTTATTGATTTCAAGACGCATACCGGTACACATTCCACCCCCAACCCGCCTGCACACGTGAGAACACACACACAGGGTTTTTGCAAAGGATTTCAAAAGGCTTTTTCTCTTCCTCTATTTCCCTAGTAAGGTCATGAGGTGGGTTACTTTTGAATTCAGCTACCTTTGTGGGTCTCTGTGTTTCTTCACAGAGACCCACAACTTCACAGAGTCCCTTTACTCAAATAAAAATTTAACTTCAGAAACGGGCACGTTAAAAAAGTGACATAAATGTGATTCCTGATTCCCTTCGGCCGTTTACTTTTGTAATATTCTCAGGCGTAACAGTAACAGTATTATTTATCATTATACTCCCAAAATACTGTGGCCTCTTTCCCTTGCCGAAGACCTGGAGGTGTTTGGTGTGTTAAGAAGCTTTCAGAAATAGATGATAATGGATAGAGCTCAGCTAGAAAGGCAGGGATCTTCTCTGGGGAACCTTCGGGCGACCTGCACCACTCAACTGGAAATAGACTCCTTGTTCCGCCGGTTTGTCTATTTGGGGGTTGGAGAACGGATCCACTTGCTTGCCTTTAGTTTGTGTGCCTCCCTAAAAGTGTTTTCCCATGTTGACACTGGCTGAAAATAGTTGTTACCACTTTAACAGTTTACTCTAGAAAGGACCCTAAGAGAATCAAACCCATAAAAAATACAAAGCTATGGGCCGACGTCGCTTCCTTTGTCAATGTTAGTGTTTATGTGTGCGAGAGTGGTTTCAGCTGTTGGCCCAAAATGGACCACAAGTAGCGTTAACTAGAAGGTCATAATGAGGTCAACCACAAACATTTCCTTGACACCTGCACAATACATTTGTCCACGTTTCATTGAGTGCAATGGCACTGCCATAGGGCATAGGGAACATTGCAATTAACTGGGTGCAGATGTCATATTGAAGAGCTTGGGAGATTAGCTGCTCCTACAGTGTAGGAGGGGTTTGTTTACTATTATGTTCAAGATGGGGTCTCAACTCTAACAGAGGCTAGCACAGCCAGGCAGCACTGTGATACTCTGATGTGGAATCGCTAGCTAGTTACACAACTTTGTTGTCCACTAACAATAGCCTCGGAGAGGCTAAATGTAGGAAAGCTGAGCGTGAGAGTGGTCACAACGAGTGACTAAAGGGGTATACATCTCCCTAAGAGAAGCAGTCAATGGTTTATTCATTAGCACAAAGCTACGTTTCAAGTAACAGTCATTTGTAAAGACATTAGCAAACAATAGATACGCTACATGGCCAAAAGTATGTGGACACCTGCTCGTCGGACATCTCATTCCAAAATCATGGGCATTAATATGGAGTTGGTCCCCCCTTTGCTGCTATAACAGCCTCCACTCTTCTCGGAAGGCTTTCCACTAGATGTTGGGACTTGCTTCCATTCAGCCACAAGAGCATTAGTGAGGTTGGCACTGATGTTGGGCGATTAGGATCCAATTCATCCCAAAGGTGTTCAATGGGGTTGAGGTCAGGGTTCTGTGCAGGTCAGTCAAGTTCTTCCACACCGATCTCAACAAACCAGTTCTGTATGGACCTCACTTTGTGCACGGGGGCATTGTCATGCTGAAACAGGAAAAGGCCTTCCCCAAACTGTTGCCACAAACTTGGAAGCACAGAATTGTCTAGAATGTCATTGTATGCTGTAGCGTTAAGATTTCCCTTCACTGGAACTAAGGGGCCTAGCCCGAACCATGAAAAACTGCCTCAGACCAGTATTCCTCCTCCACCAAACTTTACAGTTGGCACTATGCATTCGGGCAGGTAGCGTTCTCCTGGCATCCGCTAAACCCAGATTCGATGGTGAAGCATGATTCATCAATCCAGAGAACACATTTCCACTGCTCCAGAGTCCAATGGCGGTGAGCTTTACACCACTCCAGCCGACACTTGGCATTGCGCATAGTGATCTTAGGCTTGTGTGCAGTTACTCGGCCATGGAAACCCATTTCATGAAGTTCCCGACGAACAGTTATTGTGCTGATGTTGCTACCAGAGGCAGTTTGGAACTCTGTAGTGAGTGTTGCAACTGGTGATAGACGATCTTTATGCGCTTCAGCACTCGCCGATCCCATTCTGTGAGCTTGTGTGGCCTACCACTTCGCGGCTGAGCCGTTGTTGCTCCTAGACGTTTCCACTTCACAATAAAAGCAGCTCTAGCTGGGCAGAAATTTGACGAACTGACTTGTTGGAAAGGTGGCATCCTATGACGGTGCCACGTTGAAAGTCACTGAGCTCTTCAGTACGGGCCATTCTACTGCCAATGTTGTCTATGGAGATTGCATGGCTGTGTGCTCGATTTTACACACCTGTCAGCAACGGGAGTGGCTGAAATAGCCAACTCCACTAATTTGAAGGGGTGTCCACATCCTTTTGGCCATGTAGTGTAGAATAGAATACCTGACTGCTGCTCTGACAGTTGGATAAAAGTCCATCTTTAACACAACCCAGTTACAAAACAAGGTGGTACACTTTAAGCACACTTTAAATAGCACACCAGATTTCTGCAGTAGGCTACTCACACTCTCCGCTCCACTTGCAGGGGTCCAGCATCAGCCTGCTCTTGGCATCCTCCAGTTCCCCCCTCAACCTCTCATGCTTGGCCCTCAGCTCCCTGATCTGCTGTTGCCTCTTCTCCAGCATCCTCAACCTTGCATTGAAGTACAGCAGGCCCTGGGAGAGCAAACGGTAAGGATGAATGGAGTGAGCAGAGAGAGAAAAGACGAGTGGAGGAAAGGAGCTTTGGAGAATCCCTGGCTCGGATGGAGGGAGGGAAGTAAACAGAGCGAGAGAAAGAGCGAGAGAGAGAGAGAGAGAGAGCCAGACGGAGGAGTATCTTTAGCCGGATTCAACGATTTTTCGGACGCTTCTATTCGGACGCTTCTGCTGTGAGGAGGCTCACACGCAGGAGATTATTCAAAATGGAATCAAGAGCGGCTAACCTGTGGGTACTAACCTGTCCATTGGCGGGGTTAATTAGGATAAATAAAATTAGCATCCACGCTAATCTCGCGCTTTAATCTCCAGGAAAACGTTGAGCTCAGGGATTGGGTGTAGACATAGTCCACCAGAAACAAGTTATTGAAAGGTAGAATAACACAACAGATTATTCCTAGTTCAGTCCCTCCAGGATTCTGTGATCACATAAAACAGTCAAATCATCCAAAATTACTGCATAAAACTGTCCCATCATTGCACTACAAAAAGAGGGCTTGCAATTTTAACCAATCACCACACTTTTACCGCATAAAGTGGTTCAATCAAGACCCAGGTCAACAAACATTTCCCCCCTGTCAGCGCAATTTCGTGACAAATTTGACAAAATCCTCGCAAATGACATGAAAAATGTCAGAATTGCAGCAGTAAAATCAAGCATTTTAGCCCGCAGAAAAAAAAAGAAAAAAACACCTCGAAATCCTGGAGGGACTGCTAGTTGGAACTGTTGTGTTTTATCACTACAAGGGAGGTCAATTGCTTTTGCACTATTGGCTTTGCACAAAACTAGTTTTTGGACACATTTGTGCCACAATATAATGTGTCTATTTCACAAGGCATAGCAGAATGAATTAATTCCATGCTTCATGCATCTTCCATTTTAGCATGTGATCTAATAATCAAGGCGCATCCATCGAGTTTAATGAACATACCTTTTCCACATCCTGGAATGGCTGCGAGATGAGAGAGGGAGAGAACAGAAAAAAGGACATTATCAACATTTGCTAATGCAAAGATAATACACAATCTAAACGGATGCACTTTGAAATGCAATTAATCACACAAACACACACACACACACACAGTTACATGCACATTGCACACACACACACACTTAAAATACTTCATTTTAGGGAGCTCAGGATGACAGGCTCTAAAAGACGAATTGAAGATCATCTTTTCCTAATTGAAAATAAATCAAAGTACCATCAGGCAGAATTAATATATTTTACCCGCTACACTATTCGCTGGGTGACTGGGTCCTACATTATTCGCTGGATGACTAAGTCGTACATTATTTGCTGGGTGACTGGTTCCTATACTATTTGCTGGGTGACTGGGTCCTAAACTATTCACTGGGTAACTTGGTCCTAAACTATTCACTGGGTCCCACTGGTGGGAATGGTTAATGACCCGTGGACATGGAGAGTGGAGAGGCCCATAAAGAGAAATCAGGCGAGGGCCCAGATAGCAGATCCAACCTTCATTCATCACTGGCTCCTCCACCCCTAGTTTCCCCTCTTCCTCATTGGGCTTCCTCCACCCTTAGTAGTGGATGGATTTAGGGGTTTGAGACAGTTTAGGCAGCCTTGCTTTTTAATCTGGGGCAAGTTCAGTTGAGGCTGATGAACTGGACTGTCCCCCTTAATATTAGCCCACTGCGAAGTGGATCCATGCTTGTTACGCAGCCGTGATAATCTTAAAATGCTATTTATAAAGTAGAAAATTACTGGAGGGAAATTCTTTGAAGTTTTGTCCTTTGGTGAGGTCAAGAGGTGAACAGGTGTGGCACCTGACCAACTAGTAGCGTGCACAACATCTAAGCAAGTAAGGAGATGAAAACAAGCAAATAAAATAACATTCCCACACAAATCAGTCAAAACATTCTGGAGTTTACAGTCTGGTTAATTTGTGTACACACACGCACGCACACACACACACACACACACACACACACACACACACACACACACACACCACTTTAGAATGCCAGGAAGCATTTAGAATGCCAAGAAGCATTTAGAATGCCAAGAAGCAAGCAGATGGAGAATCTCTAACCTCTGTCCCCGTGGCACCCTCTCGCCTCCACTGCAGCCGCTCCACGTCGTCAATCTCGTACACCTTGATCTCGAAGGGCTCCTTCAGGGTCCCACCCAAGGGGGGCAGGTCCACCCACTGGCCTGGTACGCCAGCCTTCCTGCCCAGGGAGGAGGTGTCCGGCAGGGGAGCAGGGATGAGACGGCGCCGCTGGAGGCCTGGAGCAAGTGGGTGAATTGAGTGATCAGTCGGGGTACGGCTGTTCATTGGAGTTGGATATGCACACCAGGAATATCCTAGCACGTGCGCCGCTGCCTTGAAATATGCATGAGGCAAAAACATGCCAAGATACAGACTGATAGCAGACTTCCATAGAGCCAGCTGGGATCACATAACCTTCGGCTAGCACTGATTACATATGCATTAGGCACTAGACCCTATCTGTTGCTGTTATGAATTATGGAGGATGGGCACATTCATCTGAATAGGCCGAATTCTTGTTATGAGTGTACACTGCAGCCGGATATGCTGTGACTTCAGATACCACACTTGAATAGAGATTCATGACAATGCTAGGTGGAGTACATACTGTACATCGAAATATATATTCATAGGTTTATGATAAATAGATATATATGTGAGATATCCATGTGCAAGGCAAATTCATACATGACATTAGAGTGTATGAATACATGCATTCTTACTCGCTTCAGCGTGCATGCAATGTTGTATTGAGCACCAGGGTTGTCACCTAGCAACACTTTTCAATAGAACATAAATAATCTACTAGTGAGAAAGCTAGAGAAAATATCGTATGAATAATGTATTTTACAGATATCAAAGAAAAACTATTTGAATATGTATATTGTTAAATTGGATTCTTGTGGGGCTCTAAATAAAATAAAAGAACACTTATTTCACAAGTACAAGTTTATGAGATCATGAGTTGTGTTTGATGTGGTATAGCTGTCTGGATATTGTTCCAGAACTCTCTCAGGGTAACTAATACTCACCATTGCCTCTCTTCTTGGGTGATTTAGACACTCTACTCCTATTGGAGGTGGACACCCCGCTCTCGCTCATGGAGTCATGGGCTGACGAGGCGCTGCCTGTGGTCTCGCTGTCCCGGATCATGCTCTCATAACCGCTGCTGCCCCCACTGTGGTAGAAGAGTGCAGTGCGACCCATGGCCGGTGGAAGCTCCCCACTGAGCACACTGCTATTGTCACTACCGTGCCCGCTGCTGTAACGCTGGGGCCTCCGCGGGGCTGTTATCTTGCTATAGGGCGAGGGTAGTGGCGTGCTGACAGGGGACCCGCTGACACTTGCCCCGCTATCGTTGTCATTGTCCCCTGAACCCCTGCTTAGATGTTTCCTTGGGCTTCCCGCCACAAGCTCACTAACTCGGCTGTTGGCAGCCCGGATGGCCTGCTTAGTGCCCATGATAGTTCCCCTGCCAGGCTTGCCATTGGTCCCTGCCAAAGAACGAGCTGGGGATTTCCCAGTTGGAGGTAGGCTGGCATTGCGTGCGGTTGGCGCGTCAACGGATTTGGTGGAGTAGTTAAGGGTCTTGGAACTGCTGGCAGACAAAGTTCTAGCCTTTGATCCACTGGCAACTATGGCCCTGGGGTTGACATTAGCTTTAAGCTGTCCCAACTTGCTTGTCATCGCAAAGGTGGTAGAGGAAAGGGGAGAGGTAGCAGTGGATGTGGAAGTAGTGGAGGTGGGGACCCCAAGTCTTGGCAGTGATCTATTGGATTTTCCATTGTCTCCTAAGCTACTGACACTATTCTCTCTCGACAGGCCAGGTTTGGACCTCACTGAGTTTAGACTGTCACTTCTCTCCAAGGACATCAGGCTACCATAGTACCTTCCAGAATCGCCTTTGGTTCCTCGTGTCTTCAGGCTTGACGCTATCTTGGCTGAGCCATGGTCAGCCTTCAAGCTGGATGTTTTGTAGCTAAACAAATCCCCTCTGAATCGAACATCAAATTCCTGCTCAGAGACGGATGTTTTAGGTAATGAGGACCTTGCAGCGTCGCTGGCTGCCCTTAAGGCACTAGGAGATAAGACTATCCTTGTCTTTTGATCGAGGCTTGATTTGCGAACAGGTGGAGCAGGAGGAGAGATAGAGCCAGACTTTGGAAGCATGCTGCTTTTCTGTCCATTTGCCTTCTTTCCCAAAGAGGAGAATCTCAGACTACTAGTTCCTGAAGAGCCATCGCGGCCCCATTTTGATTCAGGGGAACTGTGGGGGACTGACACTGTTCCAAGAGTGGTGGCGCCTCGCCTAAACTGTGGCATCCTGCTCATGGTCTCTGCTTTCTTGCTGCTGGACTTCTCACAACCGTCTACCGCCCTCTGAGTCGAGGAGGATATCTGTGCCTTTGGCGGTCGAGGTACACTGTTGCTGTTTCCTCCCAGCTTCCTGGATGGGAGGCCACTCATGCCATTTCTGGGTGGCTTACTCGCCACAGTGGATTCAGTCGCTCTAGGATCCAAATGGCCGCCCCCTCGCAACCAGAGGTCGTCTTGCTTGCCTTCTTGCCTGCTGCAGCTTGGGGCAACTGATGAGGTAGGCTTGGTTTTCCTGGGAAGACTGGAGTGAACAGCATGGTGTGGGATCTGAGAAGATGCTGAGGTGTTCAGAGAGTTTGCTCTGAGAGATGCTTTGGTAGAGTCAGGAGAAGGTGGGCACTTAGTTTGGGAGAGCTTGCTTGGGGTGGCGGGGTCACTGTCCAACTCAGAGAAGCAGACACCACTGTCATTTAGGGAGCTCTTGGCACCATGCTGCAAGAATGGCTCCCTACGGAATATAGCAGGAGGGGACAATATGGAGGTGTTCTCCGGTGCCATGCACTTAGCCCTCTGTAAGAATCTGCTTGTCGAATGGGTGCCGTCGCTCTCCAGCGAGCACACGCTCACTTCGCTCGGCCAGGAGCTGATGGAAGACTGTCTGCTACCATGATCGGCAAACAGCTTCTCCTGTGAGGCTGAGCTCACCCTAGACGCACACTCTTGAGCCGTGTAAGCATCAAACTCATCGTTGATGCTGCTAATGATGCTGACAGGACGGGAGCCTGAGGCCAGGGCCTGAAGGGAGCAGTCACTGTTAAAGCTGATGATGCTGGAGGGCCGCCCATTGTCTGGGACCAGGCCTATAGGTAGGTCCTCCACCACCGTGAACACCAGCTCGTCTTCCCCATTCAGCTCCACAGGTTGCTGCAGGGTGATCGTGGTCCTCAGGATATCTCTCTCCAGGCACCTGCCCCTCAAGGCTGCCCGAAGATGGCTCACCTCCATGGGACTCCTGCCATGATGGGCCCTCTCCAGGACCGGGGACCCCCCGGGTTGATCTTGCCTTAGGGCCTGCTGACTCATGCCCACAGGGGGTGCCCGGCAGATGGCATCCAGGCCCTGAGAGTGTGTTCTGGAGGATCTTGGCAAAGAAGGAGAGGCAGAAGGCTTAGGTACAGTAGGTCCTTTGATGAGGTAGACCTTCTCTCGCACCACAGGCTCTGAGTCTTGGAACAAAACCCTGCTGGGCTTAACCACACAGGCCAGAACCTTCTCCCCATCTGCACTTGTCCGTTTGTGACTCTCTGGGACCCCTCCATCTGAGGACAATTTGGAATGTTCCTGCTCAGATATAGCGGGAGCTGTGTGGGTGGTTGTTGTGCTAATCAGGGGCTTTTGGTAGGGGGATTTAACAGTCTTGGGGGACACAGCCTCCTCTGGGCTTTTGGTAGTCCCACTTTGAGTGCTTGGGGCTATTTGTGCCCCCTTGCCCTCCCCAGTGAAGGCAGCTGGGCCCTCGCTGCCATCGATGCACTCCAGTCTCTCTTGGAGCTCCGCAAACGTGTTGCACTTGAAGTATTCCACCTCCGGGCGTTGGGTGTCTTTGCAGCGCTTCCTGTTCAGTGAGGGGATGATGGGAACAAAGGAAGGTGGGCCCTCATTGTCGCTTAGCTCTCTGTCTGAAATGGTGGCCCCACCAGGACCGATGTAGATGACCGTGTCGCAGGAGTGCTCACTGCTGGAGGAGTAGTCCGGGTCACTAGACAGCAATGTGGGCATATCCGGGTCAAGAGCCACGGTTCGTGGGTGGAAGGGTCTCAAGTGTGGCTTGCGGATTTGTCCCTCTTCGCAGGAACTCTCGCCACCAGAGGAGCTGGATGCATACTATAAGCAGGAGAGAGAACACACATTCAAATCTTGTCTGCGGTAGGGATTCAATAGCTGAATTACGAACAGTGATCAATTATCGCTGTAACAGTCCTTCCTTTGTAAGAAATACAGATTAACTTTATAGATTTAATTATTTCTATGGCAGAGTCCTTATTACCCTGGGAAATCATTCAAACAATTCAGACATTTTCTAATTGAGCGATACCAAAGGACGCTTGAGGAACAAATCAGTTTTCCATGTTGATTCAACGTCATCACATTGAATTTTTTTGTTGAAATGACTTGGAAATAACGTTGATTCAACCAGTTTTTGCCCAGTAGGAAGCCTTGAAATAGCTTGTTGAAATTTTACTACCTTGGATTTCTTCTTCCTCATGCGGTGGATACGCGAGGCCAGCTGCATGGTGGTGAGCGTCTCCATGTAATTGGTTGGTGAGTCGGAGATGTGTGCTATCATGGTGGTTCGGCAGTTGATGTTGCCCAGAGATTCCCTCAGCAACATGGTGAGCTTGCTATCCCTGAATAATACATCAAAAATCCCCTCGTTAGCCCCCCAAAAAAGGACCAGCACCAGATCCTAGTAGCCATAACCCCCTCCCCCCTAAACCTCCCAGGATCATAGCAACCATTCCTAACTGTACCGAAGGATTAGCTATAGACAGGCAAAAGGCAGCGGGAACGAGATCTCATTTACCATCAATGGAACCCCACTTTCAACTACCACTTTCTGTTTCAACTACCTTCTCATGTACTGTCTGTAAGTAGGGCAATGTGTGAAAGGTCCATGAAAGCTAGTTTGAAATAGACTAGAAACATTTTTATTAAGCCCACCCTACTCTATACTGTGTATAAATAAAGCTGATCTTGTCTGAGACTCAAGGAAAAATATCTCATTCCAAATTGTCCTTTTCACAGACCCAATCTTTTATATTACAATCCAAACCCCCTCCCCTCATTGAAGCCGGAATACACCCTTTCCCTGAACCATAACACTATCAATAACTTCCCACGTTGGTGCTTCGCTTCTTCCCTCAACTTCTCTCTCATCCAAATAGGCTAATAGGGCTTCATTGATTTTTCCTGTGAGGTGGGAAGAACAACAGAGAGTGATAAAAAGGCCAGACAAAACACACAGACTCACAAGATAAACACAAAGAGGACGTAATACAGACACATTCAGATTGGCATTGTGAAAAAAACTAATTATTCACGAGCGTTTGTCCCCCGTTTTCAGACATACCTGTAGGGTACGTGCTTGGCCCCGTTGGCCAGGGCGAGGATGACGTTTCCCAGAGCAGAGAGAGACAGACACTGGCCTCCACCTCCTTCCCGGGTCCGACTTATGTCCGTCTCACAGCTACCCAGATCCAGCAGGTGCAGACGACTGCGGCCGCCAGACACTTTATGAGAGAGAGAAAACGACAGAGACAGACAGAAAGAGAGAGAAAGAGAGTGCGTGTGAGAGAGGGAAATAGAGAGAAAAAATGATTAAACCTGAACTTTCCATGGAGCCCCCCCCCAAAAAAAAAACAAGCTCAGGAGTTCACATTGAATGGACCACTTCAAACTTCACACCCCCCCCCCCCATTTAGTTTTGTGCTAAATGACCAATACAGTGAATGACACTTTCAGGGGGCACTGAGCCCACTGAGCACAGCAGGGATTTACACACAATCAAAAAGACAGAGGTGGCCCGATAGATACACAAGGCGAGGCGTGGCTTTACGTGACTACGCCCCCGAGTAGGGTACAGCCGTAGGGTACTCCCCTCACTCCCATGTAATTAGCCTAAACTTTGGCGTCATCCTAAGCAAACGACAGACCGTTTTTTTTGTCGTTTCAATGAACGTTTTCAGCAGCTTCACTTGTCGATATTAACATACTTGGCTGTCACAACAACAAATTATTCGCATGATACTTATTCTGCTACAAATTTGTTACCCGACCTGCTAAGCTAGGAAAGCTGTCGTATTACATCTTACATCACTGTTTGTTTACCCCTAGCTTTTTCGCCGGTTAGCTGACGTTAGCTGTCTGTCTAGCGATAGAAGTTAATCTCGATTTAATTCGCTAGTCTTAGATATTTCACGTAACTACTTACAGTCTTTGCCTGCCCTTGAACGGTCTAGGTATTTAGAAAAGTTTATTCTTGTTGGCTTGCCTATATGTCCTTTCAACTTGCCGGAGACCAGCTGGGGAGACAACCCTACCAAATGGCCCAAACCAGTGGAATCTCCAAGTTTGCATAAATATCCAAATGCAGAAGAATATTATAACTGTCATACCGGTCCCACGGGGGGCCAGTATGAAAATGTATGCACTCACTAACTGTAAGTCGCTCTAGATAAGAGCGTCTGCTAAATGACTAAAATGTAAAAATGTAAAATGTTATTTGGATGGATACAGCTCACTAGTCCTTACTACAAGATGAATAGCAAGCTTTATGCAATACACATAGCTAGCTAGATACAAACAAGTGTTAGCGATTTACCGGTGATGAAGTGCTTCGAACACACATATACATTTATTGAGTACCCGGAGCCCACAGCTTTCCATCAGCATCACGGCGTAATAGCCTGAAACCATGAGATTCGTCTAAACTGGTACCTGGTTGATTAAACTTAATTTGGTGGTGTTTTTACATTTTAGTCATTTAGCAGACGCTCTTATCCAGAGTACATACATATTTGTATTTATTTTTCATACTGGCCCCCCGCGGGAATCGAACCCACAACCCTGGCGTTGCATACACCATGCTCTACCAACATCCCTGCCGGCCATTCCCTCCCCTACCCTGGCTGGGCCAATTATGCGCCACCCCATGGGTCTCCCGGTCACGGCTGGCTACGACAGAGCCTGGATTCGAACCAGGATCTCTAGTGGCACAGCTAGCACTGCGATGCAGTGCCTTAGACCACTGCGCCATTCAGGATTTTTCTCCTGCTATTGTTTTTAACCAAACGGTACGCAACAGCTTTTCGGCATCTTAATAGCAGATTTAGATAGTTGGAGAAAATCAGTTAGAATCGGCTCTTTGACTGTTAATTGTGACGTACATTCCATGCGACAGTCTTTCTGTTCATGCAAACTTTTTTTACGTTTAGAATTAAAGTGTTTTTTTGTATGATCTCGTTTGTTGATTAAGACGACATGGAAGTATGTTAAAAACGACCAACCAAGCATATACAAAAATGGTATAGAATGTAAAAAAAATAGAGTATTGTCAGGTTATGATTAAAGTAGGCAATTTAACATAGGAGTGATGGGAGTACCCTACGGTTGTACCCTACTCTGGACGTGATCATGTTAAGCCCTGTCTCGCCGTGTGCATCTATGAATCAAAGGTTATGGAGAGTTGGCTCAGAAGTGACAATCAAATAGGCTCGCACATTTGGGGGCTAACTGCACACAGATAAAATACATAGTTACGGTTGAGAGGACAGAATCCTTCCCATTTGAGCTCATCTAGGTCAGTGGTATGAAAACACTAACTCATATCATTAAGAGGAATCGGAATGGTGTCCTGATTTAATACAGTGGTGGGGCTGAAGATTAGCTTAGCGTCAGCAAGATTTAGAATCCCCTGCGCTGCAGAGTGGCAACCCTCCCCGGAACCTGAGAATGCAAACTAGCCTCCCGTTTTATGTGCCGCTCTATAAACATGCTCAGATTGAGGACTCAAGCCTCATTACCTATTGAAATGTATTCTGGCTCTGGACAGTGTGTGCCGTGTCTACCCCCGCATTGCAGCGACGGGAGTGTGAAATACTAATAACAGCAGCTAACGTAGAGGATGCAGCCATGACAGGTAGGCTAGGGCGGCGTATAATGCAAATGTGCTAGCCTTCCTTGTTAGTATTCCTGTTATGGCCTTATCAGCAACTCCAAATGAAGCTAATTAATACAAGTTGGGTTGGAGAGAGAGAGAGAGAGAGCGAGAGAGAGAGAGAGAGAGAGAGAGAGAGAGAGAGAGAGAGAGAGAGAGAGAGAGAGAGAGAGAGAGAGAGAGAGAGAGAGAGAGAGAGAGAGAGAGAGAGATAATAGACCTGTGGATCGCCTAGCCTTTCCAGCAGGTCTTAACATTCTAATGATGCATGTGAAATATGTTCTCCAGATAAAAGGGCAAGAGTTTTTCATTGTGCTGATCAGAGTGGTTCCTTTGAGCGTCGAGCAAATTAAAGACGCTATGATCTTTCAAAGGTTTATCTGTGATCGATGTGGGGCTCCAGATGAACAAGACATGAACAACACATCATATTTAGTTGGGAAACTATCATTCACCTTCATTATGTAACTTCTGATGACTGATGAAATTCATACACAGGTAGATTGCGCATGGAATGTCAAATTAACTAGCTAGATAAAAGTTTTGCTTGCCCAGTGTGCTCTGGTGGGTTTGCACTATCTGGGCTATTCCATTGGTTGAATAGTGCCAGGCAAGCCAAACCAAGCAGTGTATATATAAACAAAGTATTTGAAAGAAAACAAATACCAATTTGACCCAGGTCTGCTTAGCACACACACCACACCAACCATCCCCAACCCACACACCACCCCAACCATCCCCAACCCACACACCACCCCAACCATCCCCAACCCACACACCACCCCAACCATCCCCAACCCACACACCACCCCAACCATCCTCAACCCACACACCACCCCAACCATCCCCAACTTCTCCCCCAACACACAGCCACTGACACAGGCACCCTACTCACTTCCTCCTTTGGCACTCTTCTCCATGAGGTACTGGTAGACATGGAGGGTGAAGAGCATGTGGGAGTTCTTCCTCTCCTCCTCGTCGCAGCGAGGGCGGCTGGTGCTTCGGGCCGCCAGGGCTGCGTCCAGGAAGTAGGCTGCCCGCTCTGCAGTGGCCGCACGCAACTCATTCTGGTTCTGGAGCTGAGGGGGGAAGAGAGATGAAAAATGAGGGAGACTGAACGAAAGAGAGGAAGAGAGACTACTCTTACTAATACTACTCAGACTAATGCTGTACCTCCTACTGTTCCTGCTGTTGTAAAAGCTTTTCATGCCAATAAAGCCCTTTGAATTGAATTGAGAGATGGAGAGAGAGAGAAAGAGAAAGAGAGAGAGTTGATAGAAAGGTAAAGACAGAGAGGAAGAGAGACACAGACACAGAATGAACCAGAATGAACGAGAGAGGGAGATACAGATAGGTGAGAAAAAGAAAATGGGAGGGACGGATAGGGAAATAAAGACAGACATAAAGAAAATTGGAAGACAGAGAGAGAGAGAGAGGCAGAGAGAGAGAGAGAGACAGAGAGACAGAGAGAGAGAGAGAGAGAGAGAGAGAGAGAGAGATAGAGAGAGAGAGAGAGAGAGAGGCAGGAGAGAGAGAGAAGAGAGAGACGACCTAGAGAGAGAGAGAGAGAGAGAGAGAGAGAGAGAGAGAGAGGGGAGAGAGCGAGAGAGAACAGAGAGAGTTAGAGAGAGATAGAGAGAGAGAAGAGAATAAGAGAAGAGAGAGAGAAGGGAGAAAGACAGAAGAGGAGAGAGAGAATGGATAAGACTCTATCGATGATAGTAGAGAGAAGAGAAGAATAATGAGAGAGAGATCGAGGGATACTGATAGAGATAGAAAATAGGACTTAGAGGGTCTACTATGGGTGAATAGCAACCTTTCTGGCCTGGCGGAGGGAGTCTCCTGGTGACAGGTGTCAGATATGCACACAGAGGGAGGGAGAGGTGAGAGAGAGAGGGTCCAGGGAGGGGAGAGGTGTCCGAGGATGTCAGAGCATCACCCAGAGCCCAGGTAGCTAAATAATTGAAGCATTCACTGACAGGTGATTTATTGTTGAGAAAAGCATGCACAACTTAAACTTAAAAATGAGGGAGACTGAACGAACGAGAGCAAGAGAGACTACTCCTTACTAATACTACTCAGACTAATGCTCCTACCTAATACTAATACCTCCTACTGTTCCTGCTGTTGTAAAAGCTTTTCATGCCAATAAAGCCCTTTGATTTGAATTGAGAGATGGAGAAGAGAGAAAGAGAAAGAGAGAGAGTTGATAGAAAGGTAAAGACAGAGAGGAAGAGAGACACAGACACAGAATGAACCAGAATGAACGAGAGAGGGAGATACAGATAGGTGAGAAAAAGAAAATGGGAGGGACGGATAGGGAAATAAAGACAGACATAAAGAAAGATTGGAAGACAGAGAGAGAGAGAGAGAGAGGCAGAGAGAGAGAGAGAGACAGAGAGACAGAGAGAGAGAGAGAGAGAGAGAGAGAGAGAGAGAGAGAGAGAGAGAGAGAGAGAGGAGAGGTAAGAGAGAGAGAGAGACAGAAGTAGACTAGAGAGAGAGCGGAGAGAGAAGGGAGAGGGAGAGAGAGAGAGAGAGAGACCGAGAGAGAGCGATGAGAGAGAGAGAGAGAGCGAGAGAGAGAGAGAGGGAGAGAGCGAGAGAGAGACAGAGAGAGTTAGAGAGAAGGGAAGTGAGTGAAATGAGAGAGATGAAAAGAGACTGCATTAGAAGGGTCTAGCTAATTGGGTGAATAGCACACATTTCTGGCCTGGCGGAGGGAGTCTCCTGGGTGATCAGGGGGTCAGATATGCACACAGAGGGAGGGAGAGGTGAGAGAGAGAGAGGGTCCAGGGAGGGAGAGAGGTTGTCCGAGGATGTCAGAGCATCACCAGAGCCCAGGTAGCTAAATAATTGAAGCATTCACTGACAGGTGATTTATTGTTGAGAAAAGCACGCACAACTTAAGCAAAAATTATAGTTATTAAGTCAGAATACAGCTTAACATATCCTATGCTAGGTCCATCACAAACGATTGAAATGCTTTCTCTCAAACCCAACGCGCACACACACACTCCCACTAGCCAACCAACTCCATACCTGTGACCCGCAGATGGGGTCCTCGCGCAGGTACACCCCTGGAGACTGGCCGTCCTGCAGGCTGCCTGCGGACACATCGGACAGCAGGTCGGTCAGCGCCTCGTCCCGGCCGGAGATCTCCACGGCGGACACGCGGACAGAGAAGCGTGCCCCGGCCTTCTCCTTGCGTTCCTCAATGAGCTTGAAGAGCCAGGAGATGGCGCAGGGAGCCACACCCAGGCTCTGTGTGGAGCAGTCCCGACCAATCATGGTGTATGTCTTACCTGTGGAGGAGAGGTCAGAGGTTATTTGAGGTGGTGATTGGTGTGTTTGTTATACTTGTTGGGTTGTTTTGTCAGACATGGACTAAGCCTATAGTTCTGGGCTAAAAGGCATGTTCAACTGAGATTCTCCATTGAAATTGCATCTTAGTCCTGGGCTAGACTAAATCTGTGTCCGGGAAACCGGCCTGTCGGATTTTAAGTCTGCACTCCAAAACAGACAAAAGGTTGCTTATAGTTATATATTTGTTCAGAAGATGAATTATCTAGCTAAATAGGAATAGACACATCAAAAGCAGGTTTATGGTGTTGAAGCAGTCCCACCGTATAGCCGGGGCATGTTTGGACCCATTTAAAACAGTCCCACCGTATAGCCGGGGCATGTTTGGACCCATTTGAAGCAGTCCCACCGTATAGCCGGGGCATTTTTGGACCCATTTGAAGCAGTCCCACCGTATAGCCGGGGCATGTTTGGACCCATTTGAAGCAGTCCCACCGTATAGCCGGGGAATGTTTGGACCCATTCAAAACATTGTGTGTTTGAGCTACAGACTGCTGGGTTGTACCGTTGGATTCGTCTATTTCTTCTGCATCCGTAGATACCAACCATGTGTAGTCTGTGTGATTCACGGGGGCTGAGCTAGAGCGGTGTTTGTGAGACAAGGGCGGATCCCGAAGGGGCCCGGGGCCGGATCTTTTATACAAAAACCTCTGTAGAGTCCGAATGGTTTGAGCTACATGTATCACATGTTTTGCTCTATGACACTCACAAGCTACACAAGAGTCGTTAGAAGGTAAGGAGTTCTTCTACATAGAAGATCATAGGAAATACCAGGACATAGTGTCTATAATACTGTAATAACCTCACATAGTTGCTGTCACAAACTCCAAATTTCTCACAGTTGTCACTGACTAGTTGGATATTAATTTCCCAGAGAGCAAACCATTTCTGTAATTACAGCATTCATATAAATAATTTTTTACCTAGTTTAAGTCTATTTTTTTAAATTCAGATTTGTCAATAAAACTCATGAATGCAACTGTTTATGTCAAATTGTTGTGTGTTCTACTTACAGCCCTGGTTGTCCTGAAAAGAAAATGGTAAATCACTTCATCGTGAGGCTAAATATAAGGGCTGGACATGCAGATAAATGAACATCAGATAAATGAAAAGCCGTTTTTTTTGCTGGGATCTCGGGACTAATAGGGATAAGTGAAGTCTATGGATGTGGGTAAAATATAAATATTTGTAGCAGTAACAGCCGAACAGTACAAGAAGTAACAGTAGCAGAGGTAACAGTAGCAGTAGCAGTTAACAAACAACACGGGGGAGATCTGACATCATCAGGGGGAGCCGACAGGCCTACACAGCTGGAAGACAAACAAAGGACTAGACAACAGGAGGGACGGTCTAACAACCTGATGGAGAACAAGGGCACTTTACATTCTGCATAAAGCGCTCTCTCTTTTTCCCTCTCTCAAAGAAACACACACACACACACACACACAAACGCACGCACACACACACACACACACACACACACACACACACACACACACACACACACACACACACACACACACGCACGCACGCACACACACACACACACACACACACACACACACATAAACAAACACACACACACACACACACACACACACACACACAGATCCTGCAACATTATACTGAAGTGGCCACTGTCTTCCTCCTCTCTCCCTCTCCTTCAAAGCCGTCCATACAAACTCAAAGAGGGTTTTAAAACAAGGCAGACAAAACAAAGGGGGATTCTCCATCTCTCTGCTCTATTGTAAACAATCATTGGGACTCCCACCAGGAAATGAATTCTGTGAAGTGGTTTCCTAATGGGAAAAGGGGGGTGGGGACACACAACGGTTGAGTCAATTAAAACAGGGCACCTCTGTTCAGTCAGTCATCTAGTTTGTTTCTTGAGGTGTGAAAACAGGAAACTAAACTGTTTGACACATTAATTGGCCGTCGTTAGTTATTTCAAGGGCAGAGGTTTGTGTGTGTGTGTGTGTGTGTGTGTGTGTGTGTGTGTGTGTGTGTGTGTGTGTGTGTGTGTGTGTGTGTGTGTGTGTGTGTGGAGAGCGTTGTCATACCGAGGTTGGCATGGCCTAAGCAGAAGATGCAGCCGTCTGCACCGTTCACCACCGATTGGATGACCTCCGCCACCGTCCCCGAGCACACCTCAGCCTATCAGTAGAAAGCACAGATAATTTCAGCCAATGACAACACAGCTTATCGAACTTCAGCCAGTGGAATTAGAGCAGTCGTACACCTCCTTCAATGTGGAGTGGACAACATTTATACACCTCAGACCATTTTTTGTGGGTTCAGATCGTTTGACATCACAGCACAGTACATCCCAACCACAAAGAGACAAACACAACCAAGCAAAAAAAAGGGGGACCACCTAAACCCTTTGAATACATATAAAACGCTAACACTTCTAAGACCTAAAGCACCAGGGCGAGAGTTCATGGGTTGCGGTGTATTTCTACAAGTCGCATCACGTTCCAATCTCTCTTGGGCGTTTTAATATGAATGACCCGTCCACTTCGTTCACAGTAGCAGAACTGCATTTAGGGCAGCACATTGCAGGTATAGGGCCTAGGTCAGTGGTTTTCAACCTGTGGTCCGCTGATGTTTATTAATAAATTAATAACAGTTGGGAGTATTAATGGTATTACAAACCATTTTAAATTCCTTTTCACAATGAAATTATTATTGCTAGAAATAATAATAGGCCTTTCATTTGTTACATTCACTGCTAAAATGGACTACATTTGACCGCCAATATATTTTAATGGGTTGGGCACTGCTGGCCTAGGTTATGCTGTCTCGCTTGGCAATCTCATGACTCTGCCTGTATCCAGGATGCAGAGTAGGGCTGCATTGTATAATATTATATAACATTATAACATAATATTAATATAGACATATAATATAACATTAATATAGACATATAACATTTATCATCCCCTCCAGCGACAGAGAGCAGCCACAGCTCTCTCTCTCTGATCAGTCCCATAGCAGCCTCAGCTCTCTCTCTGATCAGTCTCATAGCAGCCTCAGCTCTCTCTCTGATCAGTCCCATAGCAGCCTCAGCTCTCTCTCTGATCAGTCCCATAGCAGCCTCAGCTCTCTCTCTCTGATCAGTCACATAGCAGCCTCAGCTCTCTCTCTGATCAGTCCCATAGCAGCCTCAGCTCTCTCTCTGATCAGTCTCATAGCAGCCTCAGCTCTCTCTCTGATCAGACCCATAGCAGCCTCAGCTCTCTCTCTGATCAGTCACATAACAGCCTCAGCTCTCTCTCTGATCAGTCCCATAACAGCCTCAGCTCTCTCTCTGATCAGTCCCATAGCAGCCTCAGCTCTCTCTCTGATCAGTCCCATAGCAGCCTCAGCTCTCTCTCTCTGATCAGTCCCATAGCAGCCTCAGCTCTCTCTCTCTCTGATCAGTCCCATAACAGCCTCAGCTCTCTCTCTCTGATCAGTCCCATAGCAGCCTCAGCTCTCTCTCTCTGATCAGTCTCATAGCAGACAGGCAGAACCACAAAGCACCACAAAGCCTCCATTATGAAGTGTTCAAACTCTGGCACCACACCTCGTGTGTGTGTGTGTGTCTGTCTGTGTGTGTGTGTGAGAGAGAGAGAAAGAGAGAGAGTGAGGAGATACAGTAGTGTGTATGTTGCTATGTGTGTGTGTGTGTGTGTGTGTGTGTGTGTGTGTGTGTGTGTGTGTGTGTGTGTGTGTGTGTGTGTGTGTGTGTGTGTGTGTGTGTGTGTGAGAGAGAGAGAAAGAGAGAGAGTGAGGAGATACAGTAGTGTGTATGTTGCTGTGTGTGTGTGTGTGTGTGTGTGTGTGTGTGTGTGTGTGTGTGTGTGTGTGTGTGTTTATGAGTGCAGGTTGGCTGACACTGTTCAAATACGAGCTCTACAGTAGCTCTGAATTCTTCTTCTTCAAAGCCGCCTCTCCTTTTGAGCAGCGCCGGGTAGGGGCACCAGTCATCAGGCCTTACGTTGTCTGACAGGATACCCTCTAACCTTTTGTAGCCCAGTGCGGTGTTGCAGCTAAAACTGGTGCAGGGAGAAAGGTTTATTGTTTCTTCCTACTGTACTCTGGGGCTGGTTCCTGGTTCAGGGCTATATCCTCACAACACCACCACCATCAACATCACCACCACCACCGACCCCACCACCCACCACCAAGCACTGTGGAATTAGATATGTATTTTTGGAAAGCTCGGACTGGAAGGCCCTGACTGGAATTCAAAGCACTTTGACTTTAAAGGGACCAACTGCTTAGCCTGTTCTGCAAAGAATCCTCCAACACCTCCACCCCCCAACCCCCATGTCCAAAGATAGGAGCTGTGGTCACTTTCCCACCCTCCTCCCCCTCCTCCCCCTTGGACACCTCATCATATCAAGAACACCATACAACACCACCGTTCGTCAACACAGGCTCTGGAGATCCACAGAGTGGGAAGGCTTTTTTTCCAGCCCAGCACTAACACACCTGTTTCAGCTAATCAACTAATCATCAGGCCCATCATTAGTTGAATCAGTTGAATTAGTTGAAATTGTGTTAGTGCTGGGCAAGAACAAAAGCTTGCGCAACCTGTAGATAATGTATAAAGAACAGTGACGAAAACAGTGGTGAGGACAGGGGCGGCGGTGTTAGGGGGAGTGTCTGTGACTTACTTGTGATGCATCCTGGGAGAAGACATTATCGAAAGCGAACATCTTGGGGGCGGCTGCGGCGGCGCGCCTCTGGGCAGCACTGGAGTGACTGTTAGCGGACGTTTCGCAGAGGGTCAGCTGTTTCTTGCGGGCGTCCACCTTTAGAAATGACCTGGACTCCGAGGTGTCGCTGGAGCCCTGGGCAGAGCAGATGCGCACCATCACTTTGACCTGCAGAGAGAGAAGAAAGTACAGATTTCCAAAACATTTTTTTTTACAAAAGTAATGACGTACAATGTTGAGTGGAAAACTATATACAACATAAGACACCTGCTCACTGCTTTATGATAATGATAATTCACCTGGTCCTGCTAACGCTAAACTGAGGCGCTAATGCTAACTGCCAATGCTAATTAGAGTACCTCAATTACCATTAGCTTTGTGACACTACCTTGTGTACTTAGATACGTTAACCTGTCATGGTGTAGCATGAATGGAGACAACAGCACCGAGCGTGGCATGCTACGCTAACGCCCTTCAGTGCCTTGCCAAGGATTACCCTTCACGCGGGTTGAGACTTGGATGTGAGACAACTTGGCAGCATGGGGATATTCCCATTCCCGTACTCCCCACTCCTTTTCCCTCCTGCCTCCTCCTCTGGCCCAGGAATATCCCGCCAGTGACATGTGAGCCACGACGGGGATTCTCCAGACTGAATAGGCTGTCCCTGACCTTAGTATGCCATTGACTTTGGTACTGTAGTATCAAACCACAACAACACTTCATGAGGAATGAAGATGGTTTGTTTTCTATGAGTCCAGCAAGCACTTGGCTCAGTCTTCCATCTATGCTGTCAAAGCCCACAGCAGTTGGCTAAACACTGACCAGGCTAGTGTAGCGTAGCCTAGCCTAGCGTAGCCTAGCGTAGCGTAGCGTAGCCTAGCGTAGCGTAGCGTAGCGTAGCCTAGCGTAGCGTCGGCTCTGACATCTCCCATTCTCCAATGGGTTTTTAATGTGCCCATCAAATAGCAGCTGAATCTGCAGTTTATTCTGAAAAGGAGGTTAAGTTCAAAACCAATAACAATCTTGGGGCGGCAGCAGTTTTGAAATGATGTGACCCTGACCAAGTCAACCATATCTTAACCTCTAACCTCTAACTCACTCCTCCAGTAGGAATGGATGGACCAAAGAAGACCACAAGCCTTTTATCAATCTGGTCAATACAAGAGAAAAAACTCAACCGAAGGATTTTAAATTATTTTATTTTACAAGTTCATGATGTGTAGATCTTGACAGAACAGTTTAGTCCTGGTCTGTAGGCTATAATATACCAGCAGTACCAAATCACAGTAAAACTAACAGTTCAAAGGATAACAATAGGAAAACAAATGAGCATGCACTATCATTTAATTTGCCATACTGTCTGGTGACGTTCAATACCCAACAGAACCTGTGGCAAACAAATCTAAGTAAATTAAGTGATCAAAAATGATGTATGCCGTCGGCAGCAGTTAAAGCTGTTGCTGATTTTGGCTGCGCTCCTCGCGCTTCGAGTTTCTTGACATTCTGCTGCCGTTTTCCGCCGCTCATCAGCAACTCAGTCTAGTGACCTGGAAATGTGCCACCCCCAACAGCTGTGGCACGGAATTCATCTCGTTCACAAAATATAGCATGTTCCAAACGGCTCCCAATACAGAAGCGCTGTGTCTGGCCTGATTCAATTTCTCCATTTGGATTGCGCTCAACAATAAGCGCACATTGACCGGTTCTGGATTAACGTTCCTCTATTGTTTTTCACATGTTCCATCATCCCAATCGATAAATCAAATCAATCAATTAACGTGTCACTCAACGAGCCACACAATGCTCCAACCGTCATGAAATATGCATATCCGTACCTCAATTATGTGTCATAATTTTAACAAACCCCAATTAATTGAAAACCACTAATTGAGATTAATACATTCAAATCAGTTCCTTTCACGGTGGCATTAAGCCTCTTACATGAGTTTTAGCTCTGCATGTGTGGGTGAAGGTTTATTGTGATTGGCTGACTCAAGTAGCCAGTCTTCCATTCTCCCTTTGTCCATGAAGTGGACCCATTTCCACCGACAGTGCTACTCTATCAGATAGATCAGCCATATACAGTGAGCTCCAGGAGTATTGGGACAGTGACACTATTTGTTGTTGTTTTGGCTCTGTACTCCAGCACTTTGGATTTTATGGGACCAAAAGTATTGGGACAAATTCACTTATATGTGTATTAAAGTAGTCAAAAGTAAAGTATTTGGTCCCATATTCATAGCATGCAATGATTACATAATTGTTGGATGCATTTGCTGTTTGTTTTGGTTGTGTTTCAGATTATTTTGTGCCCAATAGAAATGAATGGTAAATAATGTATTGTCTCATTTTGGAGTCACTTTTATTGTAAATAAGAATATAATATGTTTCTAAACATGTACAGAGGACAAATACCCCCAAGACATGCTAACCTCTCACCATTACAATAACAGG